AGGTGTTCAGGCCCACTAAACATCTTGGTGTCCCTTCTCTAGACATGCTCCAACAGGTCATTGTCTTTCCTGTGCTGAGGATCCCAGAGCTGATGCAGTGGTCAAGGTGGGGTCTCACAAGAGTGGAGCAGAGGACAATTCCCTCCTCTGACCTGTGCCCACACCGCTTTGGATGCAGACCAAGACCTGTTTGCTTTCTGGGCTGCAGGTGCATATTGTTGTGTGATAACCTCCCATGTGTAGCCTCCCATCTACAGGTCCCCACCAGTCCTTCTTGTAGGGCTGCTCTTGAATATTTGCTCTGGAGTACTTACTTACTGATAAATCTCATATTTGGGGGGAAAAATTATCATAGGATTAGTTGGGTGAGTTTTTCTTTTATTTTTTTTTCTGCATTAGCCATCATATTTGGATTATGATTCATAACCCCATTAAACCTGACATTTACTCATTTTAGTACTTGTGCATTTACTTTTTCCAGTCTAAGCACAATAGTTAATGCTTTTATTTACTGCACTTGTCAGAATTCCAGACTTTTTTTCCAACTGGAGATAATTTTGGACTGAGATCTGGGATTTACCACCATCCATCAAGAGCCTGCCACCCTTCATCTAGATGTCATCCACAAAACTGGCATGTGTACACTGTCCTGTCAGGCACGTTGCTAACGAAAAATTAGAGTAGCAGTAAGCATGGAAGAGACTCTTTCAGATCCTGACTTGTTGTGACCTTTTGTTTTGACAGGAAACCATCAGGAGCTACTCTCACTGCAGCTCTTCATTCTGTTGTGCAACCAACATTTAATAATTTCACCTGGACTGTATTCCCCTACTTACTTTACAGGACTGTCACACAGGAGTGTATAAACCCTTGTTACAGCCAAAATATGTCACATCTATTTATTCCCTATTATCCATTTGGCCAATTACCCTGTCAAAGGAAAAAATTAGATTCATTTGACATGATTTGTTCTTGACAAATTCATGTTGACTGTTTATTATCACCTTATTATACCCTAGGCCCTTACAAGTTGATACATTAATCTTTTGTTCTAGATATCAAACATAGCCTAAATAGGACATTAGTCCTCTGGTCCTGCTTCTTTCCCAACAAAAGTTAGAACCATAATAAAATACTGCAGAGTTATATTGCATCCTTAGCCTCAAAAAAATCCTTCACTGATTTTTTTAATGGAAGTTGTTTTATCTTTTAATGTTTTATCTTTTGAATCCAGATAAATTCATACAGTGGAACACTATGTTAATTTGGTGATACCTTTGTTTCATAGAGATGGAGAAAAATAAGGTAAAAAACAACAAATAAGCACTAATGAGCATCCCTGATTTGCAGGGAAATATTACTACTGTTGCTATTAAATCAAACAATAATTTCTGGCTCATATAATTGGAAATATTTCTAAAGTGTATCACAATGGAATTCAAGTCCTGTGAACAGATCAGAATGCTGCCCAACCTTTCCATAAAGGCAAACTGGGTCATCACTCAGCCATCTTGTTAAATAAGAGGGAAGAAAAAGGTAATCCCTTTGCAAAAAATTGACCTTGTTGTCAGATACTGATAACTATATAACTTCATCAAATAATCTCATGGGCAAAAGAAGATCACATAGTCAAGGCAGAAAAATTCAGTAAGTGTTTTTTTTTTTCTTTTTCCAGGCCATAAGCAGAAAATTACTCCTACAGCTACATATAGGCATCTGAAATATCGTACTGAAGTTGTCTGGACCACATTTTACAGATACTTTTAGATCTTAAAGATGTAATGTTTGCTACAAGCAAGCATTTACTGGTGCAATAGCTCTCAGCAGCTGCCAAGATGCAAGTGGCAACATCGGGCCCTTGCAGCTAAGCATATATTTACATGTTTCACCCTAGTTTGAATGCACAATATGAGTGTAAATGATATATCTAGATTTCTCTGGAAAAAAAAATGGACTCCACAAAACCTACCTTTGCTGTTCTAATGTTTTTGCTCAGCATGGAGAGGCTTTGGTTATTTGCACATTTCTCCCTTTCCTTGTATGAGATTTATTTAAAAAAAAACCCATATGAACACACAGCTGTCATGAAGATTTATAGATAACTCCTTCACAAAGAAGGTAAATTATTTTAGACTATTGTACCGCCTTTTCTCATCTTTTTTAAATGTGATTTTTATACCATGTAACCAGGAAAAAAAGCTCTGCTGCTCTATCTAAAGGGAGAAAATTGTGTATTCTATGCAAAAAAGTCCCACAGACCAGTGTTATTGTAAACATTCTCATAATATTGTTGTGTAGCAGGAAAATGGAATTTCTATTCATTAGTCTCTGATAAAACCTATCTCCCGCATCTAAAAATAGAGACATATTGGTAGAATAGACACAAAGCCTAGATTCCTAGACAGAAAAGTTATTTATTGCTGTTATGGATTTAAACTGTGTTCAACAAAATATGATGAAAATGAAAGGTAGGAATATTGAGTAAATGAAAACTTTTTCATGATAATAGGAGAAAGAATTACAATGTGTGTGCTTGCCATTCATAGTAGAGTTATCAAAAATTGATAGCTAACAGCTCTTTTTCTTCAAAGCATTTTTTCCATTGAATCGAAATATTAAATCTTTAGTTTACCACATTTTTTGCTTCAAACACAGGTGGAAATTTCAAAATTACCTTAGCAATGGAGGAAATAGCTCTACCTATTCCCCTCATTTTGCAGAAAAACATTCCTAAACTGCAGTGGAACTCTGAATACAAATTATTTCTTGAACACCTCAGCAGAGCACTTTGTGATTTTCAGCAGTAATAACTATAAGCACTGGAATGAGGAGACACCATCATAAAAATATCCACAAATTGCCTCTGTGTGGTAGTGAGAAGAGGGAGAGATATCATTCCAGGTTAATCAATGGGCGGATTTTGGATCGTAATCTCTCAATCAATCAACACTCTGGTAGCTTTAAAACTTAGGCAAATACTAAAAGTGGAAAATGAAACATACTCATCAAGAAGGTCACCCCATTCTGTAGAGATAATATTGATCTATTAGACAGAGGGGGGCATTAAAAAAACCTTCTGAACAGTGTTGGCCATTTGAGTTCAATAGCCAACACTGAAGGTGTGAAGGGACAGATAGATATCAGCTAGTCTTCCAAGAGTTTTCTGTGAACAGCTTAAATTAACACATGCCTTCTGAAATCAGTTTTTTGGACACTGTAGATGGCTCTGAAAATGGCCTCTGCTTCCTCCCTCTCTGTTCTTCAGAAACCTTTCTAAAAGCAGCAGAAAAGGAGCAGTATGGGAGCAGAGTAATCCTCTGAGTAAAAAGTATCAGTGTCCACTGATGCTTTTGCTTCTCTCTGTGTAGAAGGACTTTTACTTCAAACATTTTATTCTGGAAAATGCCTAGATCTTCTCAGCTGAAAAATTTTTCACTCCACATATCAATCCAATTCGTGTAACTGCTAATGGACTGAGTTACTTTATCAATATGTTCGTCTTATCTTTTGTCTAGACCTTTTTGAAGACAAACAAATGGTATATCCTCTTTGAAAGGAGGTGTTTCACTCTGATGTGTAACACAAGTATTTGATCTCTCTTTCAGCTATATACTGTGTCTGGTTCAGTGTGACATGCTTTTACCTGAGACAAAGCTGAAAAAGCTGAGAATTTTGAGTGATAAATTGGGCTGCTTGGTTGGTAAGATCCACTGTGGCTCAGAAGTCACCATCATCCCCTCCTCATTAATGACTCAGTATCCACAGTTCTAATTTTGGCATCTGGTTTCTAAATGGAAGAGCCTAATTTGACTCTTCTATTTATATTTGTGATGGACATGACAGTTCCAGAGAGTGTATTGCCCTTCCTTGCATCACTCTTTGAGAATTATATCAGTGTTATAAGAGAAGGTGTCCATTCAGTAAATGAGCCAAATAACCTGGAGTCATCAGTAAAATTAAATATGTGATGCTGTCTGGTCCAGAAATTGTGACTGAGTTATTTTTGAAATTATTTCTGAGGGATAAAAAGCTGAGAGGAATGAAAAGAAATCCAATATTTTCACTCCCAGATGGGAAATCCCTAAAATTAGGCTTCAAGGTTCAATTTAAGTTTTTGACAAGCTCATGGTTTTGATAAATAATCAATAAACTAAAAATAGTACAAACTGTATATAAATAGCTGCCTTGTAAGAGGCAGGAGTACAAGAAGTATTTCACTTCTTCCTATGACTAGAATTAGAAAAGAACCTTGTGGACACTTTTGGGTTTGACCTCACTCTAAGTCAAAACATTTTTATACTGGCAGAAGTAACTTCCATATTTAAATGACGTAGTGAACTAAAGACAGGGGAAGATCAGTTCCCACTATCAATGCCCATGTGAAGAAACTTCCTGAAGAGCCTAGAATAGCAGAAAAAAATCACTTTACTATGTCAGGTTTGGTCTGCATACACAGTGATTCTGAGAAGGAAATAGAAGAGCTAAAACCTAAGAGGCTTTTCTGTGACACAAGAGGTATTAGTTGGCAAGGAGCACCACAGCACAGCTCCCTTGGATAATTGTGGGAGACAGGTTTGCTTCCTTGGTGTATTAGAGAGCATCTCCAGTTCAGCTTGTTCTGCTTTGTTGCTGGAGAAGTGACAGGATGCAGGGTAGGAGCCAACTGAAGGGACACATAACCAGGACTGGTAGAAGAATTAGGATCCAGCAAATATACCAGCGTTATTAGCAGTAATGGATCAGTCAATTTTTCCTGTTTACTCTCAGTGCAGCACAACTGAAGTTGATGAGCTTACAGGGATATATTGTCAGGGAAAATCTGGCTGGGTGTATAAACACTACCAAGCCATTGTGTTTATTTGAAACAGCCTACAGCCTTTTCATCTGCTGAGCGACAAACTGAAATCATAACGTTTCATTTAGGCTCAATTTCTGAAAATTATGGCACATCCTAGTAGATAAGTACATATTTCTCATCTGATACAAAATGATCAACTTACATCAGAATTGAATCTCAGCTGGCAAATGTTGCATGATATGATTTGCTTTCTTCGATGAGGAAGAGGAACTCCAAATGTATGATTTATTACAGCTTTTTGAATTGGGTCCATCTGTGAAGAGAGAAGAAGAAAAATAAAAAGCTTTTGCTGTTCCACTGTGTGCTATGTTATCTAAAATCTCAAAACAGATTCTGCATCATTCCATACTATGACCTAACAGAAAACTACTACTTTTCTTTAAACATGAGTATTTATTTTTCATGTAGTTATAGAAAGAGGTTATGCAGAAGGAAAAGAAAATGTCATTGACTTTCTTGGAGTACGTATATTTAGCTCAATTTTATATTTCCCTTTACTGAAGAAAGGTATGAGCTGTAAATGCTGAACAGGTTTTCCTACCCAAACATCAATTTGTGATTTTTACATCAGAGAAAAGCTAGCTCAATAAGCAAAAGAAGAACATTTTAAATAAAATTACTAAGAAAAAAATTAATGAAAATTGAAATAATATTATGTACATATAATTTCAGAATAGCACACAATACCTCAGTATTATGAAATAATAATAATATCCTGTGAACCAATAAATAAATCTCTTCCTTGAAACAATATCTACACAATTTACAAAAGATAAAAATCCTCCAAATGTTATTTTCAGTCATTTGGAGGAAACTATTTTGCATAGACTCGGCTTTAAGGATGAATTTAGACCTTTATGAAAAGGATTATTCTGAGCTAACTTCCACCAGAACACTGATCTGATAGTGTCTGCAAGCCAGGTTCCTTATTAAAAAAAATGTATGCTATTTTGCAGAGAACTTCACAAAAACTACTTGAGGTATACTTTTTTACTTGGAGGATTGAAATCACCATCCCCAAATTCATTGAACAAAATGCTTCTTATTTCTTTTTCACAAAAAACATTTGACAGACACTTTAAAAATCTGGAAATAGCTTTGCAGCAACTTGGTTAAGCCACTGATATTTTTTACATTTAAATTGTTAAAAAAAATCACATATTTTGAATAATTCTGATAATCAGTATTCACGGTGTATGTAATGAAAAAGATTCCATCTTTCTCCCTGCCCATGTCTCCATGATTCACTGTTTTCTAGTCTGTTGGCAAAGGGTTATTTGATAAATAAAGAATCAGAGCTTGTCCTTAGAGTAATCAATTATTCATGAAAGCTGTAATGGTAGACAGTCATGGCCTGTATTGCAGTGAATCCAGAGCAGATCACTACAGAATTTTTGCATCACCTGACAGCTGTTCAGTGTCAAATATGAAATTGGTCTTTAAATTAATTCCTGTTGAAAAGAAAATAAGATTGATAAAAAAAAAATAAATAAACATACAGACACACACAAACCCTCCAACCAAACCAAACAAGACAGCAGAGCTTTATAGAGCTGCAGACTGGTCTGGAAAAAATTCTCTGTTTGAGCATCTTCAATTTGATATGAAACACTGCATACATTTGCATACTGACCAGTATAAAAGAACACCAATCCCACCTAGAAACGAAGGATGCCACTTAACATTAACCCCAAAATAACACTGATGACTGAGGGCATAGTATATCAAGCTCTGAAAGACAACAGCAAGTTGTGTAAGACTTTCTGCAGTAATCAAGGCATGCTCTAGCAGCACTCTTTTACTGAGTAACACAATCTAGAAAAAGCCCACAATCCAAAAACACTATTATGAACACCAAAAATGACACCACTACATAGGAAAGTAAATAAATTGTAACAGCTCTTCTTTTTTTTGACTGCTCCACAGAGAGGTGAATTCTTACACTAGCAGAATCAATAGACCTGTATCTTGCTGTTTTTAACACTAAAGCATGACATGGTCTTAACTGATGCTAATTCTGTGCTGTTCAAGCTTGGAAAAATTCTGTTCCTCTTGCCACTACAGGTCTAAAGTAATTAGGGAAACCTGAAGTTCAGATACATGGATAAGTCAGCTCAGGGTAACAAGAAATTGTGCATTCTTTGATCCAGTGAAACTGTTTGGTTTCACATTAGCCACAGCTGTGCGATTCTTTAGAGAGCTTCTTTGTTCACTTCCTCAAGTTATGGCACTTGTCAGATAATGTGAGATAATGGCCTTCAGTGTTACCCTGTTAATCTTTCCCACTATCTCACAAGCGCCCATTATCTCACAACAGCTTGAGAAAGCAAACAAAGTTCTTTATGGGTTAAATAAAAGGTACTACCATGGTTCAGAAGATAAAAAAAGTAACTTTTTTTTTTTTTTAACTGGACTTACCCATCTTCAGAGTAAGTATTCTAGCACCAAATGAGGTTGGATTTCTGAGGCAACTGATGCTTTCATATTGAGAATGAGACAAAATATTTTTTAGAATTAAAACCGTCATGAATGTGCAAAACAGTTGCTTTATGTTATACTTAATTTTAATTTGGTCTCATGGAAAAAATGTGTGGTTTCTTTCCTAATAAGACCACAGATTTTTCTCTTGTTTATCTGCTGATGCTGAAACCCATCAGCACCCTTCCCTTTGAGTTTTTAAAGATGTAGAATTCTAGGTATACAACTACATGGCATTACTGGGAATATGATGCTTTGCATTTGTGGTTCTAAATGAAGAAGAACTCTGGATAGTTTCCAAATTAATTAAGAAAAACTGCTTCAAAATAATAATCCGTTCTCTGCCAGTTCATAGACTCATATAATTGTTTGGGTTAGAAAGCACCTCATAGATCATCTATTTCCAACCCCCTACCATGGGCAGGGACACATTCCACTAGTCCATGTTGCTCAAAGCCCCATCCAGCCTCGCCTTGAACACTTCCAAGGATGGGAGAATTGTTCTTTGATACTGCAAAGCACAGTTTTAAGTTAGACTTAAAAACTTAGCACCAGATTCTAATAAATTAGGGACAGAATGCTTGAGGGATATTTAATATTATTCGTTTTCCCTGAAGATTTAATTTGGGAAACATTATCAATCCATAAATTCCAAATAAACATCCAAAAGCATCAGATAAGCCTCTACAAGTTTTACGCAGGAAATCGGAGAGCCAACAGGATACTTAGGTGCAGCATGATAAGGACTCAGATCTCACAGATACTGGAAGACAGAGAGGAGACCTGCTGAGAGTCAGAGGAATAGAGCTTGCTGATTGCAGAAAATTGAGAGCAAGAATTGCAGGGAAATATAGAGAGGGTAATAGTATCATATAGCTGAGATAACCAGTAAGTGATGAGATACTTTAAAGCATCTCCATGCACTTTGAGACTTACTGAACATTACTAATTACACATATAAATTTCATTTCAACTTATGTAAGTGATATGCACTTTCAAAATAAAGGTTATCATGATAAACTTTGATAAAATCTGCTTTTAACTCATTACTAGTTCTCTTTTACAATTCTGGATTATATTTCTTAGACTAAAATAATTTAATTTACTCTCATTTAAAGTGAAGGACAGAGAAGTTTGCACTTCACATGAAAGATTATCATTCAGATGTCAAAGCTGTGCAGAAGACCAAGGCTGGCAACATGTCCCTTTACTTCCTCTTGACAATATATTTGCACTGTACATTACAACACAAAGAGAGTTTGCTCTGAGAACTGCACTGTTTGACTTGTCTGTCCCCTTTTGGCTTTCTACTCTCCAGCACCAGACATTTTCTATGTATCTCACTTTTCCATGTGGTCAGTCTAGGGATAGCACAGTGCTCAAGGTTTAATGCAAACAACAGGATGACTATTGGATTGAGAAATTAAGATAAATATATAAGTTAATTTGATTAATTTTTAGTTTCAATATATGCACATCAATAACATCCTCTGTGTTTTAATTAATCAAGACAGAATTTGTGGCAAGATGATATGATTCACATTCTTTGATCAAATAATGTACTCCCCAAAATCTTCAGGAACTTACCATACTTTAGAAAAATCCAGGTTTAAACCAAGGGCATGATAGAAATTGTCCCCTTACTGCATATTCTTAGCTTTGACCCTATCACTATAATTTAGTTTTGCTTGTTTTAAATTCAGTCATGCCAGACCTATGATATTATCTGTATTCCTTGTTCTTGTGCTCACTATAGAGCATGAAATGCTCTTTATTTTGTGGACTGAAGGTGAAAGGAGTGGCTGTTGCATGAACTTTTCTGGAGGAAGCACCTACCACAAAATCACCAAGAAGTTGACCCAGGAGATCCCTTGTTATCCTATCTGGGACACTTTTCCACAATCACCACAGCTGATATCCTTGAAGGCTGGCTGTAGCCAAGTCTTCATCTCATTAAATTTTCAGTAAAATCTGTGTAATGCAGAACCTGAGATGGTATATTTTACATACAGAGAAATCTGATCCCTTTGAAATTAAATCTTACATATTTTCCACAAATAATTGCTAAGTGTTTTCACATGCACACATGAGATTTTGTGTGTGTGTGTGAAGAATTGTTTTATGCTGAAGCTGAAATTGAAACACAGATTTCAACAAATTTCAGTGTCTTCCTGAATTTCAATAATTTTTAATATATATAATTTTTATTAGTTTCTTTTCTGTGACTTCTTATCCCAGAGGCATAAGAATATGCCTAAGTTAAAAACCATAGCAAAGCAAGAACCAAAGGAAAGCATGTAAGCTTGATCCACAAAGGCTCAAATCTTAAAGGGGATATAAAACAAAGGGACTTATTTTTTAATTTTGCATTAAAACCAAAAGCCATGATATGAGCATTTCAGATGCTTAAGGTTTGCAATAAATTGAAATTCACTAAAGCCTATAAATGAAACCATCCAGGTCAAAGGATAAGATGATGTGGATGCCTAGAGCTTGTTCAGAGCATATGTTAGGCCTAAAGCAATCAAAAAAGTAAGAAAGTATTTTTACCTCAAGACCAAAGAAATTAGCTGGAAAAGATTGACTCAGACCAGATATGGTCTTACACTAAATGAGCAGAAAAACATGTCAGGTCATTGAAGCTCACAGGAAAAAATTGCTCTAGAACATTTGAGAAGTAATCAAAAAATAAAAATTATCCACCAAATTACTGATTTCCATTACTTGAACAGCTAAGTGAATTTAGTGACACAGGTACCACCACCTCCCAGAACC